AAATACCCAACAGTCACTGCAACTTCAGACCAAATGTGTAACCATTTATTGTTAAAATCAACAGTTCAACACATAACACAGCTAATACAGATAAGAAAAAACAAAAAGATACCAGTATTGTCAAATTTCCACCGTCAGCTGGATAGTTATGTAGAGAAAAATACAAGATTTGACATCTTGAGAAAATTGCTTTGTGTTCATCATTTGAGAGAAAAAAATAGAAGGCAAAGACTTATAGTATAAAATGTACAGCCACATGATTATATAATATATAATAACATTGCACATTATACCAAAAAAAAAAAAAAAAAGAATCCACACATGGAAAACAAAATAAGTGTACACAATATACAACAAGGCACTGAGGAACAAACCTGCACACGCATCTTTGGATGGATCTGCCGCCCGCGGAGCTCCAGTGAAATGTTGTAGGAATGTTACATTGCAAACCCTCCAACTGAACAAGTCATTCAAACCCAAACCTGACTGATCCCATAGAAGTACATCAATTACTTCTCATGATGTCCGAACTATTGTTGCTGCAGCTATGTGGGAGCTTTTGCACATTTGCAGGTGTAGAGAAACCACATAATCCCTAAAAACACCACTTTCAGGCCCCTGTGGGTTAAGTCAGTGTTTGCAATGTTACTGTTCCCACTTGTGGCCAGTAGAGGTCGACAGGGATCAAAGACTAATGTGAAGGACTGTCTAAAACATTAGCCAACAGCTAAATTCAAGTAATTTTAGTCTATGTAGTTCTGATATTGCAATGAGGAACATTTTCGGCAAAATCAGTTAAGTAAAAAATTAAAATCCAGTCAGGAATGTTAAATTCATCTCATCACTATCCAATATTGCCATTGTAGCATTGCTGCTAACTGGCTAATATAACCAGCTACAATAAAAGGATGGATACTTTAGTATGAACAGTAAAAGACTCAAAAAGTACATTTGGCAAATGTACTTTTTCATCAATTTTCCGACTGCTTTTGGTTCAGTTAAAAAAAAACAAAAACAAACAGGTTTCATACTTGAATGACTTGCACAGCTGGACGTACTTTGCAGTGTTACAAGTACATTGGCAGTTAAAGGGAACGTCGGAGCACCTTTCAGATTGTGGTTACACAGGAACAAGAGTGGCATCGATAAGACAACGTCTGATTAGTCCTGCTTTGCTTTAAACAGGCACTTGTGACCTTCGTATTGTCAGCAAATCAATTGAAACAATCAGTCGCAAACTGAAAAAGCTTGAGACAAGTACAGTTGCATAATATTTACAGTGAGCAGATCATCCTGGACGAGTCCCCGAGTTTCTCAAAGCAGAGAAAAAGGCTTTTAGGTTGCCTTTCTTTTTTCTTTTTTACATTCGGACAGCCTGTAGACACACTTTTCCTAAAAGTCATCCTCTCACACACACAGTCACACTAACTAAAAGCCTCAGTAACAAACCGGCCCGTCCTGCAACAACAGTCCTTGTAGTGCCACAGTGGGTTAGCATCAGGAAATAATTAACAGTTTTCTTCCAAAACAAGACACATCCACCTTTTTTCTTTAACTGGTTTTCTTTCTCAAATTTGAATTTGTTTCTTTTTGAGTTTGGGAACACAAGTCTTTGCTTCCTCGAGGGTCACAATGAGGTCTTGGGTTGTTTGAGTACCATCCTTGGTTCCATTGGGCAGCACTTTAATTTTATACTTGGACTGAGATACGAATATAAAGTTGTTATCCCTTCTGTAAAAAAATATTTAAGGACAAATGGATTGCAGACCACGTCCAACTCGTAAAACCCTCATTTAAGGTTGTCAAGGTCAACGATTAAGTAATTCCAGCATGTCAATAACTCTTAAAGCAAGTAATTCAGTAGTGATTACAAAATTGATGAAGTGCCAATTTGTTGGAGCCCAACTAGAAGCTGCATAAATGCAGAGGAAGTTCAGTGATTCAGATATTCTGCCTTCACAAGCTTCCATCTGTGCATATTTAATTTAATTTAAAGCTCTGAATACTGATTTGTTTGAACTCTGGTGATTGATCATGAACGTCGTCCTTTTACTTTTTAAACACTGAACCTCGCTTACCATCGAATCTCTCATCATCTCAATAATTAGAAGCGTTTTTAGGCTGCTTCTTGTGATTGATTTGCATGAACTCCTCCGTCTTTGGCCACAGCACTTTTCTACAAACTTTCCTGCTTGTCACTGCAAACCTGCACAGTTGAATTACAATGGTCTGCATCAGGACTTGAGGCTCATCTCATTTTGAGCTTCCTTGTCTCATCAGCACCATCTTGAAGAATGTCTTAACTCCTGAAATGCCTCTTAAGGTGAGAAGGGGAGGCTACAAGCAAGGATGCACGGCTGTATATTTAACTGACGTCACTTTAAAACAAAAGTTCCAAGGCGAGAAAGTCTATTTCATTAAATGCCTGTTGTCTCGACTCCTCTGCTCATATCTCTTCCTTGCCTCTTCTGCTTATATCCCTGGTGGGGCGGACTAAGATGTGTGAAAAGGAGTTGAGGATGTAGAAACTGAGAAATGATAGGAAGGGTTGGTGACGACACCATTGAAAAAACTTTGTTTTTTAAGCACATAAAGTCCAACATCGCCAATAGTTTTGCTGATATTAATACCTCCTAGTGTCTTTGTGCTCCTACTGCATATCTATTGTAACATGAAATGTTGGAATCTGAGATCAAGTAAAGCGCATGCAGCTTCTTGCTGGTCTGTGTTGCCATTGAATCACTTCTGTTCTGACCTCCTTCCAAGGGCCAGCATTCTTTGAATTTTGGTAAAAATTTTTTTATTTAAAACCACTTTTTCTTTCTGTCTTTCATCTACGTCCTGGATTGCTTCCCAGAATGTAAAAGCTTGGTGAGCAGAGTTTGACAGTCATAGACTAAGGACACTTTCTCAGCTCCATGTTGAAGACGAACTTCGATGCTTCCAGCTTGAACGGACTGCCAAACTTCTGCTCTAACAAGAGTGGATGTGTAAAGTTTTGGAATGAAACTAGTCAACAAAATAATAACTTGAGCTAGTTAACATTAAGAGCATTGTGGTTTGTCTCCAGCATTCAGAGTCAGTCTGACATGTCAGATGCATAGTGCAGAGGACGGGCGTCCAGCCGGCTGTGGCCGACATCGACCCTCCAGCTGCACCATCAGGTCAGAGGTTACAGGTTGATGTTCACCAGGCGCTACTCTGGCTGCCGTGGCTGCTGACAGACTGACAGTTGCTGTAGCGCTTCTTGACGATCATGCTGATGTAGGCCTTCATCAGCTTGGCGATGTCCATGACCTGCAGAGGAGAAGGAGCTGTTATACAGGTTGTAACGTTTCAGGATTAAAGGTTGGTATTTCATTTGATTTTTTCACCATTCAATTTACAAAAAGTCCAATTTTGGACTCTGAATTTATACAATCTGTGCTGATACCATGGATGTTGAAAAAGCATCAATGGATAAGGGAGAAGATGAGGGACCTGGATGTCAGAAAATATATTGTAGGTTTGCTGTAGTGCCTGGTTGTGCCATCTCTTTTGATTTAATGAAATGGAGTTACAGGTGTGTTTGTGGCAAAAAACAAGCGCAACAACCTCCTAGCTGTCAAACTGCTAATTATAGCAGTTATGTGGATGAACTCTGTAGCATCTGGTTGTACAAAGGTGTCAGTTTAGGTCTGGTTTAGCTAGCTATGTGTCATGCTAATCCTAAACTAGGATTTTTCAAATGCTAACAGTTGGGGAGCTGGGGGTCTGTCAGCAGAGAGGAGCTATAGCTGCTAATGCTGCGAACGCTCAGGTGCATTGAATTAATATTTCAGTAATCTGGTGTTGACTTCATCTGATCTTCATATTCCTGATGTCACTGAGCTGAGTTTGTGGCAAACATTAAGTATCAGTGGTTAAAAACAGCATTTCAATCATTTCAATGACTGATCGGTTGAGGAAACTGTTTGAAGTTTGCTTGCTCAGCTGATACCTAATCTCCCAAATTTACAGCATTTACTTCCACATCATGGAACCAGCAGCTCTGAGTGAGTATTTCTGTACAAACCATTTGGGTTTCGAAGACCAGCTCTCGGCCCTCCACAGCGATCTTGTAGGCGTTGGCCAGCGGAGCTCCAAAGGAGAGAATCTGTTCATAGGGGAAAACCTCCAGAGGCCACAGCTCGCCTCGTTTGTACACCGATATGGCCTCCCGGCTCACACCCAGCCACAGCTCCGAGGGGAACGTTCCGTCCCGACACTGAAAATACAGAAACAATGAGCACAAGAGTTCTGAACACGGACTGAAAGTAATATTTGTCACCAGCAATGAAAACCTGAAAACATCTGAAACTAACTCAAAACGTAATCGTTTGTAGAAAACTATGAATCTTTTTAAAATTGTATTGATCCAGTTTATTTCAGACATGGCACCGTATCATTAAGGCAAAAAAGGGAACACACACACACACACACACACACAAAAAACCTGAAAAACAAAACCTAAAATAATATCTGAAAATTAGTAGGATGAAGTTTAACTTATCATTTATCTCATTGTAGTGGGCTATAATTATATACTATTCCAATAATTCCTTTCAGATCTAAAACACTTTGTGATGTTTCAGAACAAAATATTCAGTCACTGTCAATCTGGCTCCTGTTACCTCGACGTTGAACAGCGTTGATCCATATCCCTGCCACTCCTTCACCAGCGTCATGTATTTGACCATGGCCTGCTCCTGGTTCATCCCCTGCAGTTTCTTCCACTTGTCCATCACGCTGGTTCTGACCGCCGCCACCTCCTCCCTCATCCAGGCCTCCAGGCTGTTCTCCTCTTCCAGCTTCTGGCGACTAAGCGAGCCGCTCCTGAAGCTCCGCCTCAGTGTTCCCTCCAGAAAGCTCGAGCGTTTCCTCTCCGACGTCCCTGAGCGGTCGGCCACCGAGCCGGTGCCCGGAGCGAAAGTCTTGGCTGAGTTCTGCACTCGGGCCCGCAATCGCGCCATGGGGAACACCTGTGAGATTTCAGGGACGGTGGCCTGGGAGTTGTGGTCACCCAGCAGGTACTGGAGTCTCAGGGCAGCCAGGAACTGAAGAGTCTCCTCAGGGGCCGGATACTGGCCACGAATGACTGCTTCATGGGCCTGAGGAGGGAAGACGCAAGGAAAGTTCTAGTTTAATCCTTAAAAACAAAGGTAAGACTGAGAGTTGAAGAAAAACTGCACACTGTGTGAAGGCACAGGTTAATAAGCTGATCTGACCATACATGAGGTTGTGGATTCCATTTCAAAGTGCTGCTAAGGTGCAGCCTATTCTTATAGACAATTCAAACTTTATTGTCACAGCTGCAACCCTGGTGGTGTTAAACCACCACTGAAGCAAGTAAAGAACAAATATAAAAACATCCTGTGTTTACGCTAGCCTCATCTTAGCTTACTTATCTTATTACAGTAAGGTAAAGCAATATCCCCTCAAGGATCAATAAAGTATTTCTAATTCTGATCATACTTTTATCTTATTGCCTTTTATTTTAATTCACTGCATGTCTTTTGTCATTGTTTTTTTTTCTGAGCAATATCTGGCACAAGGATTTCTTTCAGGATTAAAGGCGTCTTTTTCTTATCTTAACAGCCTTCAGATTGCAGGTGCAGATCAGCTGCTGAGCCTCGATGAATCACTGGACAGTCTGAGGGCTCTCACCTGTTCGAACATGAAGGCGAACTCCACGCTGTCTTTGGGAACGTTGTCCGTGTCCAAGAAGCAGTAGAGTTTGAAGTAAAACTTCCAGCCGGTGTTGTATTCGTCGGGACTCGCTGAAAGCCTGCAGGGAAGAGTATAACAGTTAATGGCAACCACAGGACAAAGAAACATTCGTTGTAGGTGCAGCGACGCTCACTTTTCAAACTTGGCAAGCACGTCGGCCACCACCGTGCGGCTCTCGATGGCTTTCTCTGTGGCGTCGTTGTGTTCAAACAGAGCGAACATGTTCCTGCTGTCCTCCATGGCCAAACCGCGGATCAGTTTCTCCACCACCTGAAGCACAGGACAGCACACAAGACGCTTGAATTTAGTAAAACTGCAGATCAGATGAGACATGTCGGTCGAAGCCTTTAGATTTAAGAGTATTATACCAAAAAGGTATAATCTAAAAGTTCTTCTCAGCAAAAAACAAAAGTGGAAGTATAGTTCTAAGAGGTTGAGCGTCTAAAAAATTAATGCAACTGTTGATTTCTTCCAAAATATACATGTGTTAAACAAAATCCTCGTCTTCAAATGGGTTTTCTTTTTTTCATCCTCAGCTCAACCTAATTTTAAAGTTTTCTCAGTTAACCCACAAAGCTGCTTTGTCAAAAAAGAATAGTTTGTTTCACTTTCTCAGTGGTCGAGACAGAATGAAGATCTTTCGCTTCTGTAAAAGTACAAATGCCACAATTTCAAGTAAAAGTTTGACATTTAAAGTGTTATTTGAGTCCAAGTATAAAGGTCTAATGTAAAAAAATATGATTAAAAGTTCAACTAGTCGGTGCAAAAAACACATTTCTGATTCCTACTGTTAAATTTTAGATTATATATGATTATTAGGATTTTACTGCTGGATGTGGTCGAGGTGGAGCAGCTCTTTTGGGTTTAAAACTGCAACTAATAATAATAAAGTGAGTATTTGGTTTTTATTTTCGTTGTTATAGAATTGAGTCCAACATGAAACCCTCACAATGTTTGTTTTTTCTAACTTTAAATGTACGATATTAATTATTTTAATTTAAGTAAATAAAAAGCAGCAAATTCTCACACATTATAAAAATTATTATCAAAACAGCAGTCAATTAATTTCTTTTGTTAATCACTTCAGCCCTGCGAGCATTTGCTGTCAGGTAAATGCATCTGCATCCACAAAGAATATTTTGTAACTGATGATTATATGTTTTCCTTTAAAATATCTCATTTTGTAAAGTAACCTGTAACTAAATATACTATGAATAAACCAAAATGTATAATAATTGCCTCTAAATTGAAGTGGAGAAGAAGATTAAAGTACCATGAAAATCAAACAACCTCAAATTTGGACTTAAGTACAAATTTTTGGAGCGTTAGCAGGAACGGCCACTGTGCTTTTATTTTGTAGGAACAGATTGAACTACAGAATCCGTTAGTAAAATCTTGAAAATAACCTCATAAGATTGAAGTACGAAATTTCCTGAACAATGGATACTAGTTAGTTTGCCCCTGTTTTAAGCCATAAACGGTGACTTGGTGACCATCAGTTTGTTTTATTCATTTTGAAGAGACTGTTGAGCCTCGTTTAAGTTTGCTGTCCAACATTTCCTGAGTTTCTCCTGAGAGAAGTTCCTGAGACTGCTGATGCTGCTACATACAGCCAGAAATCAGATTCCTTAAATTGAAGCATGTGTTTTGAGACCAAGGCTAATCGGACCTCTCTCGCTTTGACTCTCTGGGTCAGGGTGTGTTGGAACCCACCTCTCCTGCAGTGGTGTGGGAGTTGATGGTGATCTTGCAGGAGCCTCCTCCGTGACAGTGGACCGTGGTGCTCATGTCCTGCCGGGCCACGATGGATCGGACCTCCTCCTGCGACGGCACGTTCTCTCGGGTTCGAGTCTTCCTCAATGAGTCGATGGCGAAGGCGGCATATCGGTCCATCTCTGTACCAGGAAAGAGCTCACGAGTCCTGCGGGGAGATTACACCAATGTTAAGTAAAAGCACCACAGAGACACAAACAGTCTACATCCATCTGTAAACCTGTCCACCGCTCACCTCTTCAGGTGGAACTTGAGGTATCTGAGGATGCTTCTTGTTGGGAGGAAGGTGCAGGACATGCAGGCCAGGATCTTCCAGCTGCAGAGGTTTCCGGGGCTGCCGGGCTGCGGCGGTCGAGTGGTTTGCTTGATCAGCTGGCAGTAGAGCTCGTCACGCAGTGGTTTGAGCTCCTGTCCCGTCTGCAGGACGCCCTGGATGATGGGCACCGGGTCGGCCACGCCCTCCAGGTGCTGAAGGGAGCTGAACACCTTGAGGGCTTCCTCCTGCAGAGTCGTGTAGCTTCTGCTCCTCGGAGCTGAGCGGGGAAGAGGTTAGTGATGTGGTGTTGTGGAGGTACATCACTGTGTTTGTGGTTGAATTACAGCAAATAACATATGACAAAGTCCTCTAAAGGTCACAGCGAGAACTTTTTGAGGGCAACTTTGTGTTAAATTGCAATGCGCTTTACATTCCTTCTGATCCATATGATTCATATTGTTTTTTTTGGTCCAGTCCAGTTCTAATGCACTATTACAAGTAATACAAAAGATCCTGCTGGGCTCCACAATATCGCCTGTGTTATACTTAAAATTAAACACCCCTATTTCCCTTTTGGTATATTTTGTATCAATGTTGATACAGTAACCTTAAAAAATACATCTTTGTTAATATTCAGTGTGGTTTCTCAGCTTCCTTCAGTAATTTGTCCTAGCTACAGTGTGCTGTTCTGATCACTTGTTATGTGCCTTAAAGCAACAAAATCAGAAATAATTTAATGCAGTGCAGTTTAATACAGATGAGTTTGGCATCCACATAGACATGTTTTAGTCTTTTTAAAAAATAGTAAATACACTCATGGCTAAAATCCTGCTAGCAGTGACTATTTAATGTATCTGAGGTGCTTTAATAGAACAAAACTAGGTGTCTTTTTGGTTCTTTTCGGAGTGTCACCTCTCATCCAAGGTGCTTCTTCAGCTTTTACCGGCTGGTGGGGAGTCCTGGGTGTTGTTTTAGTCTGTAGCAACCCTCACTGGACTTGAAATAGGTGGTAGCTTAGTAAAATCACAACTGCAACATCCATCTGTACACAGGGGAGGCAGGAACCTACGCCTCCACTTATCAGGTACTTATCATGCAGTCCTGACATCCCTTTCCAGGCAGTTTCACCACCATTCACACCTTGATTAATGTGAGTTGAGGCTGAGAATATATACCTGGAACTTCCCATCAGTCAGTAAGAACTAAAGACGCATCTTAAATGACTTCAAGAACCACAAAAAGTCTAATTTCTATTGAACAACTTCAGACGCAGTAAAGGAGCTGTTGCCAGCAGAGTTTTAACCACTTTGACTACTACTTTAAAAAAGGCATGACTAAAACATGTCAGAATAGATGCCTAACGCATCTGTGTTATACTACTGTGCCTGTAATAACAAGATAGAATAAAGTAGAACACAAGATATACTTCTGGTAGTCTTCAACCGAAGTGTTCAGGATTAGCACAACCTGGATGACTGAGAATCTACACATCTTGAATATCTAGATGAAATGCTTTAAAATAAATACATGAATTAGTTTCTACGGTGGCTCACCGGTGAGGTGGATGTCTCCATAGGGCAGCGGCAGCAGCGGTGAATGCAGCGGGTGGTGGCTGTAGCGGAGGATGGGGTTCCTCTTGTAGATCTGCTCCACCACCTCCGAGTTCAGGCAGTTCTCCTGCAGAGAGAAGAGATCAGATGATGCTTCACTGCGGTGAAGGTAACTTTAAAACGAGCTCTGACTACTTGGTATCAGTTCACAACTCTGTCTGGAGCATGTGGCAAGTGTAAAACCTTTATTTTTTAGTTAGACTAAAACCTGCTGTCTTTAGAATCACCCTGCCCTGCATTAAAACATTCACATCACAATGATGAATTAGACCATGACCTGCATTTCCCTCTTTGAGCTTCAGATAAGACAAGATAATAATCTTAATTAATAATCCCACAGCGGGGGAATTTGCAAAAGTGCAAAAATATGTCGGGAACATCAGCAGAAAATTGCTTTAATGTAAAAGCAGGACTGTATGTGGTCGAGGTGGTGCAGTTTTTATTCTTATTTTTTTTTGGTTGAAGACTGCAACTAATATAAATATTAATATAGTGAGTATTTGGCTGATTATCTTTGTTGCTCAATGAATACTTTGGTTTTCTAACAAAAAACGTCTGAGTAAATAATGGGTCTAACATGAAACCCTCCCAGTGCTTGTTTTTTCAACATTAAACTTACAATTTCCAGTTTTTTAAGTTTAGTTTTAGTAAAACCTATTTGCCCCCTTTTCAGCTTGAGATAAGAAAAGCCTTTAATAATCCCACGCTGGGGAATTTGCAATAGTGCAATAATGCATAATATCAGCAGAAAATAAAAATAAACAAGAAATATACAGAATCTTCTAAGTACAAATCGACATATTGTACATGTGTCTTCTTTAATAAACAACGATCCTGCACAGATTCTTGTGTTGCAGCTCTGACAGAAGCTTCCCACCTTGATGTCCTGGATGAGCTGCTGCGTCGGCGTGTCGATGGGAGCTTTGGTGTCGATGACGTTCTGGATGGAGTTGGCCCACCGCGTGGCTTCGTTCAGCAGCTTACAGTAGAGACGGTACGAGTGTTTCCGCCCGTACACGATCACGTTCCAGTATCCTGTCAGGAGGACGGGTCATGTTAGACGAAGTGGCGACGGTACAACTGCTAAGTAATTTTTGTTTCCTTTTCTTACCGGTCTCCTTGAAGACCTTTTCGTCGGGCTGAACCACGGAGCAGAGGCTGTTCAGCACCAGTGTTCCCAGCTTCAGGGCGTTACGCTCCGAGCTCTTATAGTAGTCCAGGGAATTGTGTGTGAGCAGGAACCAGCGCTTCTTCAGCTTCAGTGAGGCTTTAGTGCTGTTCTTCATCTCTTTGTGCAACCAGCCTGGTGGAAACACAGGAATCACATTAAACTATGCAAATCCACAAAAGAATCTCAAAATGTGTCAGACGCTAACAAACCAACATGGCAGCAGGGATCAAAACTTCCTGTGTGAGAGTGTATTATTGCAGTTTAACCTCTAAATGCTAAAGCTGCAGCTGTCGTAGTTTTCTGTCTTTTGTTCGTAACTATTTCAACCTTTTCTATGAATTTTGTGTCGATTTTTTTTTGCTTTTTTGTGCATCTTTAACCCTTTGCGCGTTTCTTTAGTCCTCACATGTTTCACTGCAATCTAAAGTCCTGCACCTCTTTGGAAACAGAACAAAATGAAGAAGGAGAGAGAACTCTGTGCAATGTGACAGTGTGATATTTTACTACATATATTTTTTACCATTTTTAAGTCAGTACAGCGTTTCAGGAGAGACTTCCTTGAATTTTTGTCACATGACTGTTTGTTGCAGCTGAGCCACTAATGGCTTCAAAGTTGCACAAAGTAGTGCAGAATTTCTTGTTATTTACAAAACTTGGCAAATATTAACGAGACATGTAGGATGAATTGGTTTTGGGAAAATATCACAATTTGAATTTCCTTGTGGGACCACACATCACACATAATCAGTGGTGGGACTGCTGGAAAGTTGAAAAATCAGGCCAGAAGCTGTAAAAACAAAAAGAATTGTTGAATTTTTCAACTTTCCAACAGTCAACAAATTTCTGAACCTCAAAACCTGCTAGTTGGTTTAAAATTTTGACACCACATATGCAAACCTGCAGGTTTCAAAATTAGTTTTGAGATACTTATCGATACCAATCGATTCCTCTCCTGTATTGATGGACTATTGACTTGCTTAAACTAATTAATAACCACTCATCGCTTCTGCTTTTATCTGCCGTCAGTAAGTGTTTGTGTTGCTACCTCGGATGATGAACTCCTGCCCGTCGACGCGCGTGTCTCCTTTGGAGCGCTGCAGCAGAGTGATCCAGTGGTGCATCTCTTCAGGGGTGTCGGCGTTGCAGTGCAGCACTCGGTTCGCTGTGATCATGACGAACGAGTTCGGCCTTCAACAGAGCAGAAATGTGGTTATGAAGGATTAAACACGTGCAGTACCTGTGATACAAGTGCAATCACTGTGGACATTCTGGTACAATAACTGTGGACAGTATGTGCAAGATTTTAAACAGTGCCGATTAAACTTTACTATTTACTGTGTGTGAAGGAGTGTGTGTAGGTATGTATAGTGCTTTTTTAAGGTGTTGCACAGCAAATCTCTTGTAATGTTGGTTACAATGACAATAAAGCTTTCAGATTCTGACTTAATAGCTGATCACTGTCTTTTATTTGGTACTGGTGGAATAGAAGAGTTCATTTTTTGGGCGTCCGGATAGCTCGGCGGGTAGGGCGGGCCACCCATGTATATGGGCTTTAATCCCCCGACACAGCGGCCGCGGTTCGATTCATTTGCTGCATGTCATTTCCCCCACTCTCCTCCCCATGTTTCTCTGTCTATCTTCACTGTGACTATCATTAAAGGCGGAAAAGCCCAAAAAATATCTTTAAACCAAAATACAAATATATATATATATGTATTTTGAAAAGGATCACAAACAAGAACAGACTTTGAATGTTTTGATGTCAGATTGAGGCTATAACCTTAAATATTAAGGGAAGAATGATTTATTTCTGAGCTTTGTTACTCCTGACATTTGGATTTTAGAAAGGTCTTTCATTCTGAGCTAAACATTGCAGCTCTGCAGACCATTTTCTGCTGTAAATGTCAGGAAACCACAGAGGAAAAACAAAACGAGCTGCAACTTTTAGGGACGTTAAAGGCAACGTGGCAGAATGTTAAATGCAGCATCAGAATGCATTAATCTACAACACTGATGGCTTTTATCTGACTGACACTTCTTGGTTTCTTCATTGTGGTCTCAAGAAAATCCACTTAAACACAGCTTATGTTTGATGCCAGTCCTCACCTCTCCGGATTATCTGAGGCACAAACCGAATCGATCATCCCCACATCCAGCGTTCCCTGAAGAGAGACACGCAGAGATAGAAGTTCAGGTTCAGAAACCGTGTTCAGGGTGCAGGTAATGAGTTCGACCTCCGTCCGCCCCATGGAAACCAATTATCACAAACACACAGAGATAAAAGCTGCAACACACTCATTCACAGGTACGACAGCGAGAAAACGACGTGGCGTTTCCAACACATCTGTGTCCCGTCAGCTCAGAACAGAACAAAAGGGTTGCAGCATTGAATATAGAATGAAGTGAATTTTAACAGGAGACACAAGTACAACTACATCAATAGAAAGACAAAAACAGACTTGTGCAGATCTGCTCAAGTTAGAAAAATAATAATGCATTTAGTCTGTTTTAACCAAAAATGTGCACATCTAATGAAGCTGTTTTACTTTATAGACATGTAAACATAAAGAGGAAAATAGAGTAAAAACAAACACCAAGCCATTTACCATTTATATAAAGGTTTCTATCCTTGGAATATTTCCAAGTGTATTACATTACAGAGGAAATACTACTTTTGAAGATTTTGTGTCAGTGTGATCCAGTAGCTTGAATCTGCACTTCACTTGTTTAGACATTTCTGTGCTGCTATTTTATGTGTAAAAAGGTTTCTCTTGCTGATAATGTATAAGTCACACGTGTAATGATCTAAATTTAGCTTTACAACAGGAGATTTTAATCACATCCACACTTAGTTTTTATGTTTGTAATACTGGATATGTTTCACAAAGTTTATAAAAATTGAGAAACTGAAATCAATAACCATGTTTTTGAGGGTGAGTTTGATGTTGAACTGGAGAAGAATCCCAGGTGTTCATTCTCAGCCACAACTCGCATAAATCAAAACCTCCAGGACTACCATGACCTGGATGACTGAGGATCCAAAGACATATTTAATGTCTCAGTTAGACAAACTGTAACTCTTCTGAGTAAATATCTAGATCAAAAGTGTAGGAATGAATCACCATTTTGATATAATCTTATTGCTGCTGAAACTAAATTAAATGACAGGTGGATTTTGAAGGGAATCCAGCATAGAGCGTTACAAACCTTATTACAACTCCATTTCCCAGAGTGCTTTGTTTCGTCGCAGTACTCACCACAGCGTTCTGAGGGTTTGCCTGCTCATCATGCATCTCCCTGATCTCCTGCTCGGTGGAGCCATGGACCTGACTCAGCACGCTGAACCAGTGGCTGTAACCATGGAGACAGCATCATCAGCATCATCATCATCATTGAGAAACAAAGGTTAACAAAAAACAGATCTACTCCTCAGATTGTGACAAATGCAGTGGATGTAAAATCAATCTGGTTTTTAACAAAAATCGAATGTGTTTTTTAACTCTGCTCATTTCAAGTGTTTATCTGCTGTTCTTAAGAAGCTATGAGGGGGAAAAAATCAGGGACCTGTAAGTACAATTTTAATAATATGAACGTAAAATTTAGTCAGTGGTCACAGGTGCATTCACTTTTCTTGCATTGGGTTTTTACTTCGTGGCCTGAATTTTCAACATAGTCTTTCTAAAGTCTGTTTTTGATCGTTCACAAGACCAAATACTCTATTCCTCAACTTATAAATAATGCAATTATTAAGGGTCAGCATAATTGAGACGCTTTTGACACTTAGGTGACATTGCAGTGGATGTAATCACGTCTGTTGTATACTTTCCTACAACATATCTGAGAAACACCTCTTACCTGGCATCCTCTGCAGATTCTGCGATCAGATGGTAGGTCCTCTCAGGCATCACTATGTCGATTCCATTCTCTTTCCCGGTGTTATCGATGATTTCTCTGCAAATCACAAAAATGCAAAATACTAACTGATCTTCTGTCACTGTATAAAGGGTGAATCACCTCAGAGGTTCCTCCTTTAGAGGTGTGTCTTTCTGTTGCTCTTCAATGAAACAATAGTTTTTAAAATCATCACCTGTACACAACTGAAAAAACATAATTGCACTGTATATCCATATGAATAATCATACTAGCAAGCTTTTCCAACATCTAATTACAATCAATTCATTCCCACAGCTTTTTGCATCTCACCGCAGATGAAGAGTTCTTTTTAGACTACTGTACATTCACAAGTCTTTTCAGTAACACAAGAAAAGCCCCTAAACGATGTTGTCTTGCTTACTTGGCACTGTGCATGTCCAGCACCCCCTTCATCTTGTCCTCGTTGTCGTTTTCGAAGTACATGAGTTTGCTCTGCCTCAGAACGAACCAGCGGCGCTTCCAGTTGCGGCGGGACAGCGTGGACGAACCTCCTCCCTTCTTGTGCAGCCAGCCCTGCTTCAGCGCCTCCTGCTTGGTCCGGAACCACAGGAAGGTCTCGTCCTTCAGAACGCACCAGCGCCGCTTCCACGTGTTCATCAGACCGCCTGGAGAGGAAAAAGATAAAATTCTGTAGTCCTGTTTTCACTCCTCAAGTTAGAAATATATGTCTGGAGACAAGAGGAGAGCTGTGACTGCAGACGGATCAGATTTCAAACGCTGTGTGATGCATGAAAGCAGCTGAAGGCAGAGTTTGATGTGAGAATGGAAGAAAAATCCAACTCCTGCTACAAATCTTCCTACAGAAAAATGATCTCGCTGGCAAAGTAGGAGAAAATACTAAGCTTCGTCTTCAAAATCAATCCAAGCAATGCCCTGCAGAGGTTGAAGATCATTTAAAAACTAGCTTCAGAGATGACTCCCTTAACCGACGACTGGTTTCTTAAAGAATTGAACCTACTATAAGCAAAGACTTACCTTTGATAAAGAGGAAGCTGTGGAAGTAAGGAAGCGTCACGCAGCTGTACACGGAGTCCCGACGATATGAAAGCTCGTCGTCTGTGTCGAACCTGTCGAAGTCGTCCTCGCTGTCCTCAAACTGGAACAAAAGCAACAGAAGTTCCATGTTAAATGTGATGTGCAAGGTTTGCCTCAGTGAATGTAATGCTAACTTAGTAGTTGATTACTTAGAGGGTTGTTTTGCATTGATGTTTCATAAAGCTATGGAAAGTAAAGATTACATTTTCAGTGAAGGGTAGCTCTCTTTTTTAAATCTCTGGAAACGCTAAACTCTGATACAGTCATTTTGCTGCAGAAGGAATCGTGTCTAGAAGATGATCTTGGCATCAAATGTGTGTAAAAATGATCCTTTCATTGTCTAGAACTTGTTCTGACCAACCACCATCACACATGCTGATATGAACCTTGAAAGTTTACCCAGAATGCACTTATTAAAGTTTTCTCTGCTGAATTATCAGAAAACAGAAACACATCCAGGGTACCAATGACTGAAGCTAAAGCTCTGCAGGGCTTCATTTAAGATACTAAATACTAGATACTAAATTTGAGGTATTGTGACATCCCACATCAACCTATAAACTACTTTGGAACTTTTGCATACATTTAGTCAGCTTTCTGACCAAATCTGATAAAAGTATTTATGCAAATAGTCCATGATGTACCACTGCACACTGTGAACATAAACAAGCAGAATACTAACAGAGAAGTTGTTTACTACTTCCAACTTGGTATCAGTAGTTTGATGGGAAAAAAAAACAATAATGGTGGTCTTGTTGAAAACATCTGCCAGTGTAACTTTGGCAAAAGACCTAACTCACCGATGACTGAGCCCCCTCCGAGCTGAAACGATAGGCCCCAGAGCTGTTGTAGGTGCCCACAGAGCCGCGGTAGTCAGGAGACCACTGGCCGCTGCGAGGGTTGGAGAAGGCCACGCTGCCACTGGACACGATGGCGCCCTCGTCGTAGTCGTCCTGGTCGTAGTCTGAATCCTCATCCGGCGGTATCAGTTCCACCAGGTCATCAGACTGGGCCTCGGATGAAGCCTGGGGGTGGCAGTAGGCCGAGTCCCCACTGGAGGAGGCGCTGTGGCAGGCCGGGGGCCCCGGAGGAGCAGGTAACGGCTGGTGCAGCAGGCTGGTTGGTGGCAGCGGCGGGATCACACCATCGTTGGCGTATGGGTCTTCTTCAGACGAGTCGTCGCTGGTTCGGATGCCGCTTGTCCGCTGGCCGTCTGAGTGGCCATGCTCACTTGGGTTTGGTGAGTCTTTGAAGGCCTCATCATCAGCCCCAAAGCCTTCGTCGACCTCCTCTTCGTCATTGCCTCTCCTCCGTCCGTTCTCCTTCTTCTCATCGTCTTCGCCTACGCCCAAGGAGCTCTCGATGTTCCTCACGCACTCGTCGATCTCGTCAAAGTTCAGGGAGTCGAGGAACTGCTGCGCTGCCTTGCAGGCTTCGTCCTCCAGCCGCCGGAGCTCCTGGTCACGGAGGAGCTGCAGGCGGTTCAGGGAGGCCTCAGTCAAGGAGAGCTCCTGACGCTCCTTCTGCCTCTGCAGCGCCTGGATCTCCCGCTCCAATCGCAGGATCTCCTCCACCTGAGATGCCTCGTGAGGACGGATGGCCTCCTCCGGCTCTGAGGCCTCTTCAGAGGCTTCAGCTGACTCCAGCTCCTCCAGAGTGTCTGGCAATGAAGCTGCTGCTACTGTAGGTTCAGACAGAACCAGAGAGACGAGTTCCTCAGCACATTGCAGCTCCTCCAGTCTTCTGGCCTCCTCAGCCTGAAAGCAGAAAAACACGAATGTGACACATTAGTCAGTTCTGTGTGTCTTGCTTGAAGATTACAACAACACATGTAACATCACCGTCTGTCTTCCATACTGCAATAATGTAATCTATCCAAATATGCCCACAGAGACTGGAATCCTCAGTAAAATGGGACAATATTCCACTGTTTTTCATTTAAATTAGCTCCTCAGTAATGAGCTTCATCATACCTCTCTGGAGAGTCTCTCAGCCTCCAGCCTCCGTCTCTCCCTGCAAAAACACAAAGACATCAGCTGAATGAACCCACACAAAGAGATATAAAGCACCAAAACCCCACTGAGTGCCTGGCTTGTCTCGCTGCAGCATGAAAACCCAATAAAAACCTATTTAGGTTATGAGTGGTAAGGTTCACAAAGAAAATATACATTATCCATCAAAATGAGAGAGAATCATGTATCATTCTACTGCAAGTCATCAAATCTTTTAGAGATGTAAGTCTGCAACCACATGTACATGGATGTTTTATCATTAGGACCTTTGTATAACTTTACCACCAACTTTAACCTCACTGAGCTGCATAATCTCGCTCTGTTTAGTCTCAGTTTTTACTGGTAAATGCCCAGCAGAGGCAAAAATGTTCCTTATTAGTATCAGGTTTTGTGGACCTAGAAATGAATTCTCACAATTCAGACAAAATATTTCTTAAATTTAGTTTTGGGTCCAGAGTAACAAATAACAAATAACAAAATCTGAGACAGTGCAGCAACACATTTCATGAATCTGTGTGGAGCTGCAAAACCACAAAGCAAGTTTTCGGGATTACGAGCTTCACGTGAGACTTCGTCTAGCTGCTCCTGTAAGGTGACTTGCCCACCTCTCCAGGTCCTCCTCCAGCCTCCTGCGGAGCTCCTCCTCTTCCTCCACCCTCCTTCTCCGGTCCTCCAGCAGCTGGCTGAAGGCCCGGCGGGCCAGCTGCCCTCGCAGACGTTTCTGGAAGGTGAGCGCTGCCCAACGAAGGAGCAGGAACTTCCTCCTCCAGTAGAAAGCCCGGTAGTTCTTCTGAATGACCACAATGCACTGCAGCAGCCTTCTGTACTGCTTCCTGTCAACAAATAATAACCCAATCAACTTTGGGGCTTTTGGTCAGAGTGTATGTAAAAGATGGACATAGCCAGTGTGGTGCCACTCTTTGATTTGTTCTCAGGCCTTGACTTTGGAATTGGAGCATACCAATACAGTAGTGACCTGCCAAAAACCCTACTGTATTATCTATCTACCTGTAAATGGAACCATAATTTAAAAAATGAACATCATGCTGATTTGTAAGAGACTTAAAACTAGTGATTGAGATCATAAACTCAACAAGAAAATGTTCACCGAGGCAACAAATAAAGTGAGAAGCAGGCTCATTTTTAATGTCAGAATTCTTACATTAGAAAATTGTTTTTACCACAGATTGAATCATGTCTAGAGGATGATCCTGGTATCAAATGTAGGTAAAAATAATCCTTTCATTGTCTAGAACTTGTCCTGACCAACAACCATCACACATGCTGACATGAGCCTTGGAAGTTTACCCAGAATGCACTTTTTAAAGTTTTCTCTGGTGAATTATCAGAAAACAGAAACACATCCAGGGTGCCAATGATTGTTTTAAAAGAACAGTTATTCTTTAGATTGTGACACCTGGATGGATGTAAAACTGAAGTTATGAGGCTCAGAAATGATGGAAAAAGAAATCTGCACCCTCCTCTCTGTAATTCAAGGGCCTGAAACTCTGAAAATATTCATAGTATGAAGGTAGAACTTTGCATGGCTTCATTAAATATACTAAAGTAACTGTACATAACAACGAGCTGATTCTGAGGTGGTCAGGTCGGTAATTTCATGCACTAATCCTTCTATAGACCCAGATTTCTGTTTGCCATGAGAGGAGTCACCCCCTGCTGGCTGTGAGGCAGAATGCAGGTTTAAGGCTTCGTCCATCTTTTTTTAAACATTCTGTGGTTCAGTGTGAACATTAAAACTGTTTCTAAGAAGAATTTTGATTCTGTGGCTGAGTTTTGAGTCGTACCTGGCCATGTATCCCATGACGTGGGCCTGGATGGTCATGGCTGCTTTCAGCACCTCCACCTCCCTCTGCTTCTCCAGGCGATGCTCCAGAGACTCCCGGAGGAAAACCTGAGGACAGAAGAGATGAGAGCAAGAAGGACGGAGACAGAAGCACATCATTATTGCATTGGGAGAGGCTCAATAAGTGAAAGATCAATAACAGGCGAGTAATCTTCTTTTTCATATCATTTTGTGTCAGGTTTTTGCTACTTTATCACCAAACTCCAAAGCACCTACTTCCACCAGGTTGTAAAATTATTGAATTCATCCTGAAAATTTAAACAAGAAAATGGTTGGATTTTAAAGAATTGGTTATTTATTCTTTAACCCTCCTGAAATTCACGTTATCATCTTTTAAACATTTTTTTTTACCCAAATGGAACCATTTATCAGAGTCAAAAACGTCAGCAGATCTGCAACTTTCATACATCCCATGAACTAACCATGTGCAGTTCAGTCTGAACAATTCACCAAACTTATGCTTAAAATTGTGATATTTCATTAAACTTGCTTTGTTCTACATGTTTCATTTAAAAATTCACAAAAAATATGTTTTTTTTATGAGCAACATAAAGACAGGACTTCTGTGATTTCAGTCTTGTGTTGAATTATGAATATTAAACTGAGTGTTATAAACACGAGTGCATAAATGTCATGTTCACTGTCTCAGAGCTCAAAGGTGATTTCTTAAAATAACAATTTTATCTTAACAAGTGGCTGAAATGATCAGATTTACACTAACATGAAAAAGTTTGCTTATTGATTGAGTAATTGATAAACTAATAATTGGTCTTTTTCTGACTGTAAACTGCATGTATTGGAGTTCGTCTAGAAGAGTTCTGAAAGTGTTTAGTGAGACTAAAGGCTGATATGAAATAGAAGCACATGCAGGACATTACTGCACAAACAAAACTTGACAAATACTCATTTTTGCAGCATGACTGTGCATTTTAATTGGGATTTTTAACATTAATTATCTGCAACTAAATTGTTCATTTTTTCAGTTGTGTAAATGTGTCAGGGCTGTAAAAATGCAGTTTCCTGCTGTCTGGTACTAAAACAACACTGAGCCGATATTCTCCGGCCGTGACAAACAGCTTAACATAGTTCATCCATTGCAGACGCTGTATTACACACACATTATGAATAAAAGATTTACAAGTGAACAGAATTAAAAAGAGGCAGAATGTTCCTTTTTTCTACAACATCACCATTTAAGTGACACTCCCTTCCAGGAGAACAACCGAGCAGGACAAAGTGGCCGACATCAATCAAACCCAGTTCCTCCTCTCCTTTTGTTGGGGCTCCTAAAGACCTCAGATTACTGCAGCTAGTGATTTTAGCTACACCTCGGTGTGAAAAGGCTGAACTTACAGGCACTTAGTGCAGCTGCCGGCTGCAGAGCCAAGCTGTCGCTCACTGATGGAGAAACCGGGCCCAGCAAGGGCCGCCGGGGTTAATCCGATTAGGGAGGGAGGAAAATGAGATATGGGACGTGGTCTCAGCGGACTGAGCCGGTGGGGAAATATTACAGGAGTGTGATGGTACCAGATCCTCCTGTTGAATGATGTGTTGGCTGAGTGACAGAGCTGCGTCCTCCGCGGTGAAGCACTAATGAGATTTTCAAGGGGAAATGTAAACTCATCAGGGTGACTTGGACGTCGCTTACAAGCAGGTTAATTAACAGAGAAACACACGTTACATGAAGAAGATGCAGGTGTCTCTGCAGGAATTCAGTCGAGGATGGAGGCAGAACTTAAAATATCGGAGCAGAATGAAACCAGATGGATTTGTTTCCTTCAGCTGAGCAGCAACAATATTCTCACATTCAGATGTAAAAAGCAATCATTTCACCTGACTCTTTATCTACAGCAACTTTATTTAGTGAAGTTCTAGTTCTAGAGTCCATAGTTCCTTGAAGTCCATAGAGGAGGGTCCACATTTATCACTTTAATGGACTTTTCCCATCATTTCTGAGCCTCAGAACTTCATCAGTACAGCAGATAGACACATGACATTTTAGGAGGAAAAACACATTTGAGTTCTGGTAAAAACTGAAACCAGATCAGTTTTACATCCATCCAGGAGTCACAGTCTAAAGGACAAATCTGCTTTGTTTTTTAAACAATCATTGGTAGCCTGGATGTGTTTCTGTTTTCTGATAATTCACCAGAGAAAACTGTAAAAAGTGCATTCTGGGTAAACTTTCAAGGCTCATATCAGCATGTTGATGGTGGTTGGTCAGAACTAGCTCTAGACAATGAAAGCTCCTATTACTTTAAAAAACTATGGCTCTACATACTAAAAATATTTTATGATGTAAATTTTAATTGTGGCGTTTTAGTGCTCCTCAAATAAAGACTTTAGGAAACGCAGCTGATGCACAAACCAACGCTGGCTTCTTTATTAATTTTTTTATGTCACTACACGTCCTTTCCTGATTGGTCACACCAAATATCATGCTACCATTTTGAAGAACACAACAAAGACAGAACCCATGCAAGGCCGGTGTACGTGAATTATCACAACACGTGCATTAACAGTGTGCTCGCACGGACCGAGACTATGTCTGAAATCAAGTGAGAACACTGGTCTGAAGTGAAATGAACTGAAGTAGAAGTTTGTCTCTGTGGGGAGCAGCTCTTTGTGAATCTCTACAATGTACGAGCTGATTTACGTCCTCACTGTGTGATTAAAACAAGCGCTCAGAAATGACGCCACAGAAGCACAAAGAAACATGCAAACATGCACACAAAACACTCCTTCGCTTTATTAAACGACTTCCAACATGAATCACACGCGCTCAGTGCGGCCTCGTGTATGAGTGCACACATTTGCATCCCAATGAATCCAACGACTAATCCTTTTTAATCATTACTATGCTAATTAGCGCAACAAAAGCCTCGCTAAGCCTCGGCAAGTTTTGATTCTTGCCGCCGAGGCCTTTGGGGAGCCGACACAGGTCAGGCCCGTGGAGAGAACAGAACCCAGCAGAGCCGCATCACTTCCAGGAAATTAAGTTTGAGGCTGTAAAAGACACAAAACACGATTCGGAGACAATAGTCGGGACATGTGCCGACTGAAAGGAGCCACGGGTCGACTCGATGTAAATCTTGCAGCGAGACAAAGTGGACGAAACCCTCAGAGGGAGATAGAATTGATTTAACAGTTTACAGGCAACAACAGCAGCTCTGTGGCTGAGTGGTCAGACTGGTGTTAGTCATGGTTTCTGGGAATCTAACACGTACTGGATGCTCTGAAGCAGATTTCAGAGAAGTCTACACCCCGAGCTGTTTCTATTCCATAAATATCAGGAGAAGAAGACATAATAAAACTCTTCTGTAAACCTGGTAAGTGGTGGCTGAAACTGGAAACATGAGAAGAAAACTTCTTACTTTTGAATATTCAGCTTTCAAACTGTGGCACTAAGATGGTTTCAACTAACTTTCCATAGTCTCATGTGCAATACTTCATCGCCATGTGCAATATTAATTGTGACCTCAGTATAATTGCCAGCATTACATTAGCTGCTCTATTCCAGTCTTACTTTAATTTACTTATCTTAGTATTATAATGTACTTACATCTTAATGCGTTTCTACCTTTTAGGAACTGCATTTCTTACGTGTTTTTATTTTTCTGAGTAAATTTGGCACAAAAATTTCCTTTGGGATGAATAAAGCTTTAAATTATCTTACTATCACTTATGATAAATGTACTACATACATTTATGTAATGTTAGAACTAAATCTGATGGACGTGTGGTTGTATTTCATATCTGATAATCTTTTGGGTTGTTGTTGTTTAGATAATCTTATGTTAGATGCTCCCAAGTTGCCTCAATTACACAAATAAACTGCAAATATTACTTTGCTAACCCCCCAAACCCGCTTGTGGGTTTAAAACACGTAGTAGTTTACAGCATAAAAGCATAGTCTTTTTTTGTTTTACTGATATTTGCTATTATTTTCACAATTTTTGAATTTTACGTTACATTTTTTGGCACCCTTGTTGCCAGATTCCAGATTTTTTTTACAGTGCAGTTTGATAAGCTGCTGTTTCAGTCTTTTGTTTGTTGGTGTGTTATTATGTGTTTTGACGCTTGATGTTCAGTCCAATCTGTCCCACAGATATTGTGTCTCTTTGTCACTCTGGTGTCTGAATGAAGCTGAGGAGAACATTAAAGCGACCTACGTCTGAATGGCGTCGCTTTAACACAACCATGAAGCCGCAGTGTTACATATAAGCTGTAAAACTAATCCCTTTTCTGACATATTTTATCACTCAGGTGACACCTTGATGCTGACTTTGAATTCACTTCCTTCAGATACGCGTACTGAATGACCGCTGATCCGTCCATCCAGCAAACATTCTCGGTCTTATCCTGCGCTGTTGTCACCTCCTGCAGCATCGCACGGTCACGCTGTGATTCTGGATCTGTGTTTCCATCTGTCATTTCCCCACAGCTATCCCACACACACACATACACATGCTGGCAGAAGGTATTTTCTTCCTGATCCGGTGTAGTGGAAGCGATAGACCGAGGGGATGAAGGCCGGATCCAATAACTGTTGGATTCCACGCTTCAGGTGCTCCGGACTTCAATTATTCATGATCGCACTCACACACGGTCACACAGGTAGAGGCAGCGTTTCATTGAGCTGGATTTGTAAGACGTATTAAGCCAAATTAAGCCTTGAGGGGAGCAGCCAAAATGGATCGACATCCCCGCAGCGGTGCATTGAGCCTCCTTCCAATCATATTCCATGTTAGCAGGGAGACTAGGGATCAGCCGGTGTGAGCTGGAGGCAGGGGGAGTTTTAGGGCATCCAGGAGCTCAGGTCTGACAGGAAAAAAGTCAATTATACTGAAGAGAAGAAAGCAGAGGGGATCAATCTGCCTGCTGATAGACAGGAAATCTGTAGGGGAAGGCTTTGAGGAATTTCGGTCTTGAGCAGGTTGTTTTCTGATTGTGAGGCGCTGCTTCAATACCAGGCTCCTCTTTTACATGTAATGAACTGTACAAGATCTAAAGTCTGGCGGAGACCGTCAGTGAGTCAGTGAATTACATTAACACTCCACTTTCTAAATACGATTTTTACTACTCTTGGCACAATTCTGGTTCTTTTATGTAATCTTGCACATTCTCAGACAAATAATTTGCACGTTCCTGCACACTGTATAAATACCTATTACATTTTAGTACTCTTATCATTTCTTGGATTAGCTATACTTGCTGTTTACTTGACTTGCAACACTCGCTTTTTTATGTTTTTAACCTTCTCTATATATTTCCTGTTTGTTAGTGTTCACCGTTAGCCACCAAAACCTCACATCAACAGACTCTGCAAATGAAAATGGTTTGGATCCTGAGCTGCACCTTTCAGCAATCACACGTGCAATTCTTTCCAGGAATTCACTTATTCTTCAGGGACAATGAAGTTCTCCTGTCTTATCTTATTTTTTTTTAACTAGCCTACCGAGCATTAATCATTTAAAAGCACTCTGCACAGGATGTTTGAATCTGCAGTTTTCCTTGTTTTATTTGATCTGCCTGTTTAAGACGAGGTCTAATTTATTTGTGGTCAAGCTGCAAAAAGTTGCAAAGCCAGCTTTAGATTCAAGCAAAACCTATTTTTCATTTTTCCTGCACTACTGTGCCTTAAGAGATCTCAACAGACCAAGTTACACAGAAGATTATTTGAACTGAGCTCTGCAAACTTTGACATCACGATCAAAGCAGAGATTTTGTTTCTAAATGGAAAAAAATTCTCATCAATATGAATAAAAACATCAAAACTAGAACTAGTTGGGATGTCCTGATCCAATCTCAAACACTGATTGTTTTTGCTGACCGGTCGCGCCACGAACTCAAGCTTGAGCCTTTGTTTATGTCAGCTGTTACACAGACATTGTAAAGCCAAAGTACATTTTGTAGCAGGGCACTGGGTTACAAATTGTGAATAATTTTCTTAATCAGTAATTAGTAATTTATTGCACAAATTGGGGATGACCATTAGTCATCACAGAAGTGTTTGTCATGGTGCCTGTTGCTAGCTAAACTCCCACAATGCTCTCTGCTTGCCAACATGAACTGCCTGTAGTCTGAGTGACGCCTCCTCTGGTCTCTACAGAAATAAACACGAGAAGGCTCCACCTGGTGGAACAACCAGGTACTACAGTTAATCTACAATACATTTTCCAGGTTCTCCAGCTTCCTCCTACAAGTCCAAAAACATGTTGAGGTTAATTGGTGATTCGAAATTGTCCATAGGTGTGGATGTGAGTGTGCTTGGTTGTCTGTCTCTAAGTGTGGCCCTGTGATAGACTGGTGACCTGTCCACGGTGTCCCCTGCCTTCACCCTGAGTCAGCTGGGATAGGCTTTACAACAAGGTTCCTGAACACCTACAGAACACTAAGGAACAGACTGGAAGCAGAACTGCATTTTTTCTTCATGCATTGCAGATATATTGAGTAGTAACTGAGGAGTGTATGGTCCATAAAAAATGTCATCGGATTGGGACTCTGTATCTGCACATCAGGGGAAAATCAGAATCTCAGTGAGGAGATTCACTGAGATAATGAAACAACCTGATTTGAGAAACGCTTTGAAAGTAAACTGACGTCAGTGCCTCACCTTGGTCTTGCCCAGCTGCCACTCTGCACTGCTGCTGTCGTAGATCTGCAGCAGCTGGACGCAGCGCCCCCTGGGGTCATCTGGCGTCAACACACCTCGCATCAGCACCTTGTACCTGGAGAAACAGTGACAACGGTGGTTCACATGATGGAGCAACAAGGTGTTTCTACAGGGTTTGTTTTATAGATTGGCTATTTTTTAGTATGTGATTAGGCAATTGTATTTTAGCAATTGAGCAGATCCTCTGTGTGAAACTACTAACCTGCACACTCTTAAGTAATTTATGGGACCCAAGATTTGATTAAAAGCATAGCTGCAAGATAAACATTTTAATTCAATGAATAAGATGAAGCTTTCAAGTTGCAAACATTATTTTGCAGGTTAGGTTGACATTACGTTGCAGGTGATTGCATTAACTAAATATTGCGTATTATTTAAACTCACATTTTTGCATTAATTAGTTTAAAGCTAAATTTTGGCTGAGATAACAAATTGAAATTAGCTTGATAATAAAATTTCTTTTTGTCTTGAGGTCAAGATTCCAACTTATCAACACTGGAGCAACTAGATTGTAATTTTTTTTTAAAAATTTGTCAACTTAAAAACTTGTGTTTATAATTGTCGTAAATAGGTAGACAACACTTAAAAAAATACTTTTAAATAATGTGAAAACACTAGTTGTAATAACTTTCTTGTTATGAATAATCAACTTAAAACTTGTGCTAATGCTAGCAATCATTATGTAATTAAAATTACCTTTGATTACACAGGAACAGGTAATTCCCCGATGTCAGTGTAGTTTGTTAGTTATATAAACAACAGAATTTGAATATAAATTGGCAAAACCAAAAAAATGATGCTAAACTGCCATGGTGAGTTTTCTTTTGTTGAGTGCAAACAGTACTTTATAGAGCACAGAGTTTGATCAGAGTAGCGGAGACGTAACTGTCATATAAAAATGTAATGAATATAAGTGATTATGTGTGAGTACAAGTATGGCCCGAACATTTCAGTGCAATCGAGCCTTTACAAACCTCGAACAAAAGTCCTGGAAAGGTCTCCGGATGGGGAAGCCGGTGCGTCGAATCTTCACCGTCTCCAACATGCCGGAGTATCTGAGCTGGTTCAGAACCACCGTCTGGTCGAAATGATCAGGCATCTGGGAAGGAAAATAAGAAAAACAATCAGATTCACATGTTCAAGTTATAATCAGATTATGTCACAAAGTCCGCTGTGTACATAACAGGAAGCAACCCTCCATCTGAATCGACAGAACGGCTTCCATCTGCAGCTTCAGCTAATGATTTTCCTTCTTCTAACCCTGCAGGGCGCTCCGTCGATGCAGCTGCTTTCATAACACAGCTCAACCTTCGCAATGTGACCTTATCACCCGTCATAGCGCTTGACGTAGGTGTCATTTTTTTTCCAGCTGGGATCATCGATTCTGATGATGATCTTATTTGGGGTGTTTTATTGTGTTGAATTATGCTTGCGACAAGGGATAAAATGCTTTATGGTGACAAGAATTTTGTCCGTTTTGGCTAGATTGAATGAAACCAGTGAAAAAAAGCACGACATCTTGAGTTTGCTTGCTTTGTCCGACCACCAGTAAAGAATCAAAAGGGACTCAATCTACAATGAGACATATTGAAGAAGGGCACATTCGAAAAGCTGGAATAGAGAAAATGTTTGTCTTTTCTTGCTTAATAAGAGGTTTCAACAAACACAGCACTTAATCTAGAAAATCCTGAGACCTTTAATCACACTTTACTGAAGAAAATGTTCCATCTCTGCTTCAAAGATGAATTTCAAAAAGAAAAACTATCCTCACTATGTATTTAAGACCTAACGAAGAATCCACAAGAATTTAAACGAATTGCAATCCCATTAGAAAGCGCTTTTTTTAACACTCTCTTCGTTATGTCTTGAACTAAAATGCCTTTTCATTAAACATTAAATGATTTAGATTGGATTGGGTAAACTGGGAATTTTACCTGCGAGTGTAAAACCCCAAACTATCTGCTAAAAATGTCAGCGAGAGGACTTTCACTGCCTCGAGTGTTGAAACAATCCAACTGGATGGTGTGACGTCTGAGCCACATGAGTCCCTTTAAACTCACATACATCAAACTGCATACCACTCATTCAAAACTCTGAACTCAGACTGAGAAGTGACAGCAGCAAACTGCCGCCTCCTCCCCTCTAAAAACACACTTGGCATTGAGCTGCCGCTGTCACTTACAGAAATGCATTCAGTGGAAGCCATTTTCCCGGGGACCCTCTCGCCCTGTAACCTCGGTGGGCGTAGAAGGGGGGGTTTAAAATGAGAGGGCGCCTTTATGCCTTATCGTAATGCCCCTTTTATTCGCTGCCCATCTCCCCTGATAGCCTGCCGATGGCCCATTGGAGCTGCTGAGATGAAGGGAGGCCAATTCAGCACCAGATCTGGCCTCGGCGGCTCAATGGAGCCCTTTAACAGCCACCGGCCGCAGAGGACACTTCATTAGCATAACTTGGATTTGCATACGACCGAGCTGCAGCAGCACAAAGCCGAGCGGTGTCAGGAAGCTGCCTCCTGGCTTTCTGTGCCTCCTGTTTTCTATCGCCATCGTTTCCTCTTTCTGCTCGGCTTTTTGGGACGTCAACAACTGCTCAGTCTGGAGGCTTCTTCTTCTTCTTCTTTACAGTCCATACAGTCATCTGATCAACTTGATGAATGCATCTGCTCCTGCACTGTCATTCAGTTTGACGAGGTTTCACGCTGTGTCGCTCATTTTTTCCTCAAGTCAACTTGAAAAGCTAGACTTTCTTTTTCTGTTTTAGAAAGGTTCATTTGGCCCTTTGTCTTCAGTATTTTCAGCAGTGAATGGAAATAACCAGCAGGAAAGGACAGCCAATAACTTTAAATGTGAAACTGTATCCCTGCAGAGAAAAATCCTTCAGACAGAATAACGCTCAGAGACATTGTTCAGAATCATATTAAAGGATGTTATGCATGAATAGTCTTTAAGCCTCACAAAGGAAGAATACCGTCTGAATATTTTATATGAAAAATAATCAAACATCAGGAAAAATCCCTAAAGTCTTGGGACATTCAGGTTAAGTTGTAAAATCCTTTTGGGTCGTGTCACATAACAACAAAATATGAGAAAAGCTTCGCCCTGACATCCTCAGAGTCAGCTGATTCTTCATCTAGAGTAACTTCAGCATATACAAAAAAGCCATGCAGAGTTTTACCTTCATTCTATGAATAGTTTCAGAGCTACAGGCCCTTGAAGTCCATAGAGGAGGGTCCACATTTATCACTTTAATGGACTTGTTCCATCATTTCTGAGCCTCAGAACTTCATCAGCACAGCAGACAGACACATGACATTTTAGATGAAAAACACATTTGATTTCTAATAAAACCTGCAACCAGATCAGTTTTACATCCATCCAGGTGTCGCAGTGAAAACACTAAGTCTGGTTTCTGTTCAGCACCATTCTTTTCTTTCTACATCTACATTTGGATTCTGTATCTGAGGAGTTGTGAACCGTTGTGGCCCGTGAGCTCAAAACAACACCCGTAACGTAAATCAGCATCCAGAGGCATCGGAGCCTCTCAGGCCTCTGCAGGATGAAGACAACAATAGCTGAAGGAGGAAACTCGGTGTTGTTCTCAGCTAAACTTCCCTGCTAAAAGCCTAAGGGCATTCAGCAGGACAAACGGGGGCGTGGTGGTGGTTCGCTCCCGAGGGGGTTGGGAGCCGACGGGGGGGTGAAAAAAAGGCAAACATGGAGAGACAAGTGAACTCAGGGTGAGCTGTCAGTCCTTCAGGTGTAGAGAGCTGCAGGCCGAAGCTTCTTTTATTATTAATTCACTGACAGGCAGCAGCTCTGAAGTGTTGGCGAAGCTAAAAAAGTCGAAATCTAAGTCTTAAAACATGAAAGCTTCAACTTAGATGCTGATGTTCGCAGCAGAAACACCAACAGCTGCCGTGTAAAGCTTCCAGGAGGAAAACTTCTTTCTTCCCGCTGTGTGGTTTTCAGTACATTTATGGAAAACGCAGGAACCAGGAAAGATCTCAGATGAAACTCTGAGGCACTATGAGGATAGGATCAATCTCAATCCTGTGTGAACTACTTCAGAGCTACTGTCATGTAAAACTGTAGTTGTGCTTCATAGGTCTTGGATGTTACTCCTAGAGCTGATTGAATGGGTTTTGAAAACAGAATTTCACCTCTTTTCACCACACACTGAACTTGGAACCTAGAGTGATCAGGAAAACTGGGTAATCTACACATTTTTCTAGATGAATCATTTAATTTCTAGTGGAACAAATCCCTACAGTCCAACGTCAGACCAACTACTTGCTTATTTTGTGCAAGAAATATCTCAAAATCCAAAGAAACTCAATTAACAATGACACAAATGATGCAAATGCAGCACATTTCAGAAGCTGGAACCAGAGAGTATTAAGCATTGTTTTCCACAACACTCACCAACACACTGTTCTGTGTTTAAAGTTGAATTTGTCTGAGGACTTTTCATCTCTGCAGGAATCAACATTCCTGCTGCTTAAACCAGAAGACCGACAGCATCTTGAAGCGTCCAGCTCCGAGAGTGGCAGCCAGCAGAGATTACCACTCCGCTCAGCGGGGATCCACAGTTTTGGGGAATCCCTGGAACAATGTTTCCGCTCATAGACGGACATAAATCTGAGCTAAATCCTCGACCCTCCTGGGTTGAAGGCTGACCCGGTTTGAAGAGGGATTCTTACTGGTTTGAATTTCTCGGGAAAATCAACAGCACAAAGGAACCCTGAGGAGGCAGCGCTACGTGTAAAAACGAAGAAACTGTGGACAGAAATGTTCTGCAAACCAGCACAGCAGCAGGCAAACATGTAATTATCATGTGATCTGTCAGCTATGTTAAACTGGTGAATGATAAAACTGATGCACTGCAGAACTGTGAAAAGTTTACTCGTTTTGTCTACTACTTCAAAATCCAAAGCGACTCAATCTATGACGAGGTAAATCAAAGAAAAATGCATTTTCTTACATTTAATAATCTAAAATCAAGAAAATGTTTGTTCTTGTTACTTAATAAGTGACTTGCAAATAAAGCGGCTTCAGCAGATGCAGCACAAAATCTAAAAATCCCAAAAGACAAACCATCTCATCTGTGTGTTTGAGACCTGACGGAGAATCTACAGGATTTCACACAAAGTCCTTTCCTCACTAAACACTCAGACAGGCCGACTCTCTTCATTATCATGTCATTAACTTCACCGTCTCCTCGTTGTGGATTCAACTTCATTATCATTTCAGACTTTGATTACAGTAATCATCACACACTCACAAGGCACGAAGTCGCATCTCAAGTCTCAAATGTTTCTGCTGCTGCTGGAAATCCACTGAGTGTCATTTCAAAACCTTCAAGTCCAATTAATAAGATGACAAACAGGAAACATCAGAGCGTGTGATGAAGTTATGCTGCAATAATGACACCGACGGGAATAATTCTTGCGTTTAGGAGTGAATTAAGAAACATGAGCGTCTATTTCTGGACTCTATCAAGCAGGAGCTCACAGTTAGTTACATTATTCTGCGAAACGCTTCATGTTTAAGCTCCTTACTTAAGCGATCGATGTGTTGTTTGAGACTGTTCCTAAATGCTCCTGCAGCTCTGTTTAGTTTGCAGTTTGGTTTTCTTTAATTTTACTGCATTTAATATAGAATGCATGTGCTTTATTGTGGCCAAAAATGGAAAATTGTCTTGAGTAGTTGTGTAAATTCTACAGCTAGTTCTGCACAACTAAAGCCAGCATGATAGTACAACAAAAGTACACAACCAGGCACACAATGAGCCACATATACATGAAGACATGAATGAAAACATGACCATCTAAATCATACATCTACATTGCACATATTGCACTTATTTCTCCAGTTGTACCTTGAGTCTGATCATGTTTTCAGTTAAAACTAAGTAGAGTTTTGTCTGCAAAAGGCTGGAAATCAAACTGCCGGCAAAGCCTGCAAAGAGGAGAAAAGCTGCTTTTGTGCATCTGTCACAAACCGCTGCATCCACCTCACACCGCAGAACGGACATTTAAACGCACCGTGCAACAAGCGTGCACTTGAACGCAGCGCTGCCGGGTTTAAAAGCGTGCAT